TAACAAGTAGCTGTAAGTTTTATATTAATATTTTTATTCATCTATTTAACATACCTTAGACGGTTCTAAAAACTCTTTTTCTCTTTTGGAATTTTTAAAAATTAAAAAAAATGTGAATTTTTTAAAACCCTTTTTAATGTAGGCCAGTCAGTTCTAATATAGTGTGTGATAAAAGAGGTCACTTTTGTTTACATACACATAACACTTTATAACACTGAAATAATTCATTTATTTTTTACAATTATTCAAAGTAATTTTTCAATTAATCTTGAGCACGCCCATGGAGTGGTCGGAGATACCAGTTAAAATTATGCTAATTACTCTCTCGTTCATAAAAATAAACTATAACGAAGGGCAATCTTTTATATGTAAAATTTTGTTGAGTATCTTTATCCAATGGTCCATCATAATATATATATATATATATATATATATATATATATATATAATATATATATATATATATATATATATCTTCTGAATAGCTACACATCATTTTGTTTCAATTCTCAACAATACTAAATAAATCTCAGAACCAGATAAATTTTATGCAAAAAAATTATCTATTCTCTTGGAGTGAAAAACTTACAATATACAACTTACATTTAAAAACAAATTAGTATAGAAAAAAATAATTTTTAATAAAACTAATTATTGGTATTTCCTCCATTGGCCTGTATGCATGCCTATAGGCAATTTAGAATACTGTCGATTAGCTTGTCGAGCTCGGCTTGCGGAATTCTCTTCCATTCTTCACGAGCAGCATCTTTTAGTTCTCAAAGCGTAATAGAGGGATTGTTTCGCTTCTTGATGCATGTTATGAGAATATCCCAAGCATGTTCAATAACGTTTATGTCGGGGGAATTCGAGGGCCACTGTAATTTAGGTATTACTTCTTCCAGAAAATTTTGAACTGCTGCTATTCAATGAGGAGGTCCGTTGTCATGCATAAACACAAATGCATCACCTACTGCCTCTCGGAATAGACGTACGACACTACGACGTTTTGAAAATGCGGAGAACTATTAAATTCGCATTTACACTTTGACGTTTATTTGACAGATGATTTTCCCAACAGTAAATTAGCAAATTTTATAACATTAATTTTAACAAATGCATATAATTTCAACAACGACTTAGTAATTAAAGATACTTTTGTTTTTAGTAATTTTATAAATGATAGAAAAATTCCAGAAACATACATTTTAGTAAGTTTTGATGTGGTATCTCTATATACTAACATTCCTTCCTATTTAATTCTTAACAGTATAGAAAAACACTGGAATGAGATCCAATCGCACTGTACATTAAATTTAAATACATTAAAAGAAATATTATATTTCATTTTTATACTAATATATACAAATTTAATAACAGTTATTACAAACAAACATCAGGTACTCCCATGGGAAGCTCTTTATCACCTATCATTTGCAATTATGCTCTTGATGATCTCATTGAGGAATGTTTAAAAATAATAACTTTTCATATTCCATTTATTAAACGTTTTGTAGATAATTTGATCCTAGCTGTACCCAATGACAAAATAACTGACGTATTAAATATTTTTAACAACCGATGTAGCCAATTACAATTCACTGCAGAAAGAGGACAAAATAATAGTCTCCCTTTTTTAGATATGATTGTCCATCGCACACATGACAATAATCTTAAAACAGAATGGTATTTAGCCAAACATAATATAACAGTGGCCCACAAAAGCAACAACCTCTTAAATAAATATTTGACAAAACTAAAAACACAAACTCCAAAACTTAAAAAATCACATGTTGTTTACGAGATACCATGAACTAACTGTGAAGGTGTCTATATCGGTCAAACCAGTCAACTGGTTCAATCCAGAATTCGTCCTCACAAATATGAGAAGAACAACGTTACTGCGCTCACAAAACATGAAAGCGGGAAGAAGCATAAATTTGATTTTGAAAACATCAAAATTTTAAAAACAGAGAAAAACAAAAAGAAGAGGGAGATATACGAATCAATAGAAATAAAAAGAAACACCAACGCAATAAATGACAAAGAAGATACACAAAATCTAAATAAAATATATTTCAATCTGATTTAAACAATAATAATATAACATCATAAAAAGTCATAACATATCTCCACCTTACACGATACGCCCATACAAAAATAATTATATACTAATGACAGTAAACAATGAGATATCAGATATCAACTTTTATATGTCAGTTCGTTAATGTCTTTGTTACGTTTTAGGTTTGGGTAAGTCATATATATATATATATATATATATATATATATATATATATATATATATATATATATATATATATACATATTTTACAATATCTGTTTGTCCTTATATTATATACATAAATTTTGGAATCTTGACAGAGGCAAGGGTTTCCTGCCGAAACGTTTATTATATTTATTACAAGAACCTTATCCAATGTTGGAAATTCTTGTCTAAAGAAGAATTCATGCACTTTCCGTCGAAGTCCTTCTTTAAAATGATGTTCTATTTGAAATTTTGGTTTCCATGGAGCATTACGTGGCATTTGAAAACTACCACATTTCTCTTCTTTAATAACTCTGTTAATCGTAGATTTCACAACAACAAGTGTACTGCTAACTAACTCAACGGTCTCATCAACACTTTCACATAAACGTTTGTCTGTCAATGATTTAAAACAATTAAATATTAATATTTTTCATTAACTGTTAAAGGACCAATTTTTCGGCGTTTACACGGCACTTCCAAATTTTCCATATCACTAGTATACACAATAAACTGCACCTTGCAACTGAAGTACCTACTTTTAGTGAACTGTTAAGAATTTTGAATACGCCACTTGGACCTTCCTACAAAATGGAAAAACCCACTATCACGTTTTCTGTGGAATAAGTTTAGAAGGTAATTATCTAGTCAACTACTGTCGTAGATTCCTGGAATTAAAGAATTAAATGTTTGATTGTTGAAACCCTTACTTCGTGAAATGCACTCATTTCAGATAAAATAAAACGTTTTATTTTATCTAAAGAATTAAACTTTATTTTGCAAATAGGTAGGTACTTATTAAACTTTTATTGGTTATATATAACCAATAAAATAAAAATCTTACATTTCTTGCAAATTCATTAGTACCTGTTAACCTCCATCACTCCGACACTGGCAACCTTATTTAAGGATTAGTAACCCTCACTACTATTGTATTCTATTCTGCTCCAACCTTTATACCTGGTGGTCATACTCAATTTAAAATTGTTTTCCTATATACTTCTGTAAACTTGTTGACAAATATCTGTTTTTCATTGAGTCACCCGTATCAACAGTTTAGGGATTTGCATACATAATTTATTGTTTTATTACTCTCTCATACATAAAAATACACTACGAGATATAGTATACGTATAGTTCCACATGTAACATATTTATATTAAACCTAAACCAAAGAAACATTAATTTTATATTAAATATAATACGGTTCAAGAAACTCAAAACTACTATATATATATATATATATATATATATATATATATATATATATATATATATATATATATATATATAGTAGTTTTTGAGTTTCTTGAACCGTATTATATTTAATATAAAATTATTATATATATATATATATATATATATATATTATATATATATATATATATATATGTATGCGTACATACTATATTTCGTATTATGTAGTCAAATATTTCAAGCACATTATTCCGCCTCCTATGTTGTCGCATATTACACATCTTGTCGTTAGCAGGCCATTAGGTATATACACAGAAACTATTATTTACATTAATCTCTGTTCATTGAAATTTATACATCAATCATGTTAAAAGCAGAGTCAGTAAACAATTGTACTCTTATATCAAATCTTTACTATTGTGAAAAATGTTTATTTCAAAAAAATTAATAATGATTTCATAGCTCTCTGCAGAGAGATTTTGATTGAAAATTTGTAGAGATGTTGTTTTGCTAAGAGAGATAAATGCTGTAGGAATACAACAGGAATATTGTCGGGTGCTGGACTTTAGTTTTTTATATCTTGTAAGGAGTTATTCAGTTCTGTAATAGTAAGAGGTTAAGATAGGGGGTTTTCGTAAGATTCTTCTAGAGACAAGATGGTGCGTTCTTTCTTTAGCTTGTAGTTCCTAAAATTATTGTCGTAATTTTCGCTGGAGGAATGTTGTTCAAAGGTGTAAGCAAGAGTTTTAGCAATGTCTTCCGAAGAAGAGACTGTGGTATTGTTTATTTTAAGAGTTCTTATTAATGAAGAATTATATTATACCGAAAATTTTCTTTACCCTTTTCCAAACTTCGCTCATTGGAGTAGAACTGTTTATTTTTGAGACGTATTTTGACCATGAGGCTTTTTTTTTTAAATGAGAAGATCCCCATATTATATTGTGTCTGCATAAATTACCTGTGAGTTGGGAGGAATGTATATATTACATAGATAAAATGACATTAAAGAATCAATTTTGATGACTATGGCTTTACAATTGCTTATTACGGGAATTAAATCTGCATTGAAAGATTTTTTACTAATCTCATAACCCTACTACTAGCATGGTTAACAAGCATATTGTCTTTACGGAAGCATGTATTGTTTAGGATTGTATTTCTGTTGGGGTTTTAAATTGGTCTCTTGTAGACAGATTATGTCTGGACAGTTTTCGACAATGATAATCTGTAGCATAGCCAAGCGATGGAAAAATCCATCGATATTCCATTGTATGATCAAGTTGAATGTAAGAAATGAAAAATTTAAATAAGAAAAAAATAAAAACTAAACGATAGCTGCTAATGAGTGCTGGTTTGTGATGCATCACTTTCTAATTCAGAGGCCAACTCTCCAAGATAAGCAAATATTTTTTTGTTTAAGTTGGTTAGTCTTACTTTTATGAAACCTGTGTTTTAAATAGGGACGGATTTGTTTTAACATGTAAGAGAGACCTTGCAAATCAGATGTGAAATCCTTGATCAAGATTATGGGATTAGATTAGCCGGCAGTGTTGTCTAGTAGGAGGGCTAATTGTTCACTGTTCAGTAGAAATGGTAGTTCGTGATTATTGATAAAGATTTTGGCTGGTTCTATCATGGATAAAAAGGATAAATCCGAATGCATTTCTTCAAGTTTAGATTTCTTTGGTGTTTTTTGATTTTTTGTGGATTTTCGTGTTACAAATGGGCTTTCTTCAGGTGCAGCGTCAGTTTCTGGAGAGACGACTTTATTTATAGAGCGTTTTGAATGCGTTTCTTTATTTCTTGTTTCTTCTTTATTTACATTAGGTAATTCTGACTAGGTTTGTTGTAAATGGGTATTATGGTATAAATATGGAATAAATATGGTATAAATTTGGTGTGATAATGGAGGAAGAGTTTGGTTAGACAGCGACATTAATAGTTGCGTTTCTGTTACAGTTGGTGCAGTCAAATCAGCTATAGTTGTAATACTAGAAGCTGTAGGACTTAGTGGACAATCACAAAAAAGAATATGAATATACTTAGAGTCACTCATCACGCGATGAAAAGAGCAATGCTAGGTGTATCAAGCTTAAGGACAAGAAAACAAACACATGGATAAGGCAGAAAACCAAGTCATCGATGTGGTGCAAAAATCATTAAAGTTGAACTGGGAATACGCTGGACATGTAGCTAGGAGCGATCTAAACAAACGGCACAGATCAATTTTAACCTGGAGATCATACAACACAAAAGCCCCTAAGGCAGATCTTCTATGAGGTAAACAGATAGTCTGAAAAGGGCTGCTGGAAAAAATTGGCTACAAGTAGCGTACAATAAAAAACAATGGAAAGGAAGACTTGAAGAGGCTTATGTTCAGATGTGGATGTAAATGGCTAGACAAAGAAGAAGAAAAAGAAACCCCTAGTGGAGTTTGATGTATTTCAGATATATTTGTAGGTTCTGTGTAGGCTGCTGCCACGTGTCCTGGTTTCTTACATTTAAAGCAGATAAAGCATCTTAAGATGAACCCACTTTTGGGTCACTCACAAATGACACGGTCCAAACCCGGAAGACGAATAAACTATAATTCTGACTCTGGTCGTGAAAGCCTACGATTTCATTTGAATACTATGTAGTTTGTGTTTTCGAATGTTATTGTTATGGCGCTTGGGATGGTTAAATTATGAGGGCTAACATATACTCGCCGTCTAAAGCTTAGGATATGGCTATAATCGGGAAGATTTACACCAATTTTTAGAAATGTTATAGGAGATACAAGATTTAGACCAATTTTAAGTAATTCTTTTTCAAGAATATAATGTAGAATGGTCGGGCATACGTTTGACATGACAATTGTTTCAGCAGGTGTTTTAAGCCGTCTAGCTCTTAAAACTTCTCCTCGGATAGTGATTTGACAATGGTTATCCAAGAACTCATCCAGAATATTTTTGGTGGCAAGGTACATGCAAATTCGGTTGTTGGAAAGGCGAGAGGCGACAATGATATTTTTTTGGTTGAACAATGTTACCAAGAAGAATTAGGTACTCTCGAAGCGGAGTATTTTCAATTGCACTAAACACTAGTGCTTGTTCTTTGGAAGGAAATTTAAATTGATTGGTCACTGCTAAATAGCTTTTTGGTACATTTCTTTTATATTGAGATGATTCGGAATCAAGTTGTTGTGTATTACTTAAATCCATTTTCGCTTCGGTAAATTTATTTTAAAATAACAGGTGTTATCGGCAAGAATGAGTGCGGCCCTGTCCCCTGATGGGAACCCAACCAGTTCTTATCAATTTAAACCTCGATTGAAAATTTCTTGGTTAATGTAATATAATTGATATATACAATAAAATGTTTGTTATTTGCAATAATTAAGTGAAACATAATCTCTCGTGGGTCACTTACTGTCTTTTTTATTGATATGCACAACATTCACAAAATAAATCAGACTATTTACTTGCACTTTTGCAAAAATTACGATCATAACTAAAAACACAGGTTAACTTGTGCTCAGTCAGGACCGATCTCGTTTTACTATGGTTGTTTGATATAAATTGCATTATTTGTTATATACTGAAAATTGTGAAAATTTATTCAAATGTAGATGACATTTTAATCACGACTATAAAATTTTTTTAGCCTACATTATGTTACTGCAGTAATATCTTTCGGTACAGGTTTACGGTAAGAAATAAGAAGCCAATTTTTAAATTATAAATACGCTGTAAAGATCTAATAGTAGCTAATCCAAAAATTCAGCCTATCAGAACATTTCCTTAAATTATTTCCAATTCATATCTGAAGAATTATTTCCTTAACACGTTCACTTAAAAAATCTTGAGAGATTGAGCCAGGGATCTGAAATTTATGAATAATATTATTTATTAATTTATGGCCTAACGTCTAAAACATTTTCTGATTTGCGGTAATAGGTAAAGTTATTTAAAATTATTAGTTTTTTATTTTAGTTGTTCATTGAATGACAAAACCACTTCTCTGGAAAGGTGTTTAACGTTTAAGCCGGATTACGGTTAAACCGGCACTACCCTGCGGTAATGCTGCGGTCTTCTAGCCTAGTATCCTACTCGGCCGAAAGATGCCAGGATGTCCGTAACGTAGATGTCCAAAAAATATTTCCCCTACCATTGCCTGTCAGAATTCAACAGATACCTTCTTAGGCTTTTACTGGAATCTGACAATACGGCAATAATTAAAAAAAAAAAGATTATAAAATTAACGTTATAATTTTACTCTAGAGTTAAAATTTATCGTTCCTACGGCCTTAAAATGTTGTGTGTTAATGAGTTAATTACGTGATAGTAGTGTAACGTTTTACCAAACTATTGGAAACATTCAAAAAACTGTTTAAAATTTATGAATAAAACAAATATCTGTAAACATTTACCATACCCATATAATTTTTCGTTTATCAATTTAATGTTCGTCCTGACCCACTTTTTGTCGTTCTGAAAAGACTTGGCAGAAAATAACACGTGGTACGAACTACTACGCAATTTTTAATGGCCAACTTTTTACGATAAAGCCACTTTATGCTATTTGATATAAAGAAATTTAATGCAGTTGTAACTGTTAAATTGCTCATCTAACAGTTATTAGAAGTAAACTGTTTTATTCCGAATTTTTTTATTTCTTTCTAAGTTTTATTATTTTGGTATATTATGTGGGTAACTACGACGCAATATTTTTAACGTAAAACATATTTATCTGTATATATTATGTAATATGACTCACAAAATTATTTCTAATCAACAAAAATGGTTATGAAAAAACTGGAACACATTTTTCTCGAAAACACTTAAAAATGTTGAACTAACAAATCGATATTTCTCTTAATCTCGCAGAACCTTATAATATGGTATAGGGTAGACTGGGGCTAGTTGTGCCACTTTGGACAAAATAATTTTTAACATTTTTTTCGTAATTTTTAGGGCTGTTAGATTACTTTAATGAGGTACTATTTTTAATTGGGAATCATTATTTGGGAACATCAGCAATTTTTAAGCAATACTTTACAGTATGTAAATAGTTTTACAAAATGCACATATTGTCACAATTTGCCCCAATATGGGGTAAGTTGTGACGAACTTGGGGCAGGTTGTGACAGTAAATATTTTTAAATATAATAAACTTTAGTTGGAGAATAATAACAAAGTTTCCATAATAAATTTATTTTATAGTTAAGTATAGATACATAAATGTTTGATAAATGTTTATGTAAGAAACAAATGTGTAGAAAAACATCTAGTGAATTTAAAGTAAAATAAAAAACTTAATCGCTATCGTCAATTTGTGCTGATTCTACTTGTAGTTCTGAAGAGTGGCAGTTTATACAAACATAATAAAGATCATCTTTTGTGCACTTTACATGAGCCCACCTCTTGCATTCCATACATTGCACCCAGTCTTCTCCTAACCTAGACTTTTTATATGGTCCCATACAAACTAAGCAAAAGTAATCTTCTTCCTCTTCTTCTGAGCTGTCTTCTCTTTTTCTTGTTGCGGTCTCTTTCTTTGGCGCTGCTTTTTTCTTAGGCAACAGTTGTTTTGAGTCAAATAATTTTTTCTTTATTTTATCCTCTTTGCACTTTATTGTTTCCTTCCTCTTTAACTCTTCACTGCGAATTGTCTCCTTGACAGGTGTGCTAGTCAAAATTGCAGATGTTAAGCTCTTGCGTTTTTTATTTTTTCGAGGACCAGCTTTTGGCAGAGGTCTTATATCCATAGGGCTGACAGGCAGAACTTCGGCATGGAATGATCCTGGTAGGTTGGCCTGCGATGATCCTTGTTGATATGGTCCTGGTTGATAGGTATGGGAGGGTCCTGGCTGGTTAGCATAATATGACGACGGTTCAGGTTCATCGAGATGCTGAAACTCTTTAAGCTGCCCAGCACTGGCTTCCTCATTACCATCTACGATGTCAATAGGCCTATTCAAAGGTCGGTCGGTCACCGAAGAACACAGAAAGTCTTCTTCATTAAAAATGTTTCTATTGAATTCCCATATTCCTGTAGAACGAAATCCTGCCTGAACATTTGTTGGTGTTACAGCTTTAGGTAATGCTGTTTTCACTATACTTGGGATGTCATAAATTGAGACTGTGTTTCCAGGATGAGATTTCATCCATCCACACATGGCGTCGTTTAAAAACTTCTTAAATGGACCAAAAACGGAAACATCCAGTGGTTGAAGTCTATTTGTTGTATGGGGAGGGAACGATAAGAGAGTAATACCGTGCTCTGTACAATAGTCAAGGACTTCGATATATAGGTGAGCACTGTGGTTGTCTAACAGAACTAAAACCGGTGATTTCTTTGAGCACCTTACTTTTTTTACAAAATGCTTCATAAAAAACAAAAAGTCCGGGCCTGTTATCCAGCCACTTGGGTTAGCAGTACCACAACAACCTACTGGCCCATCACGTACAAAATGCTCCTTGTAAAACTTACGTGGAAAAACGAACATAGGAGGAACTGAGTTACCCTCTGCGTTAATAGCAAGAACCATAGTACATTGGTCCCCCTCTCAGCTGAAGTGACACCACCAACTCTTTTCTCGCCTTTCTTCGCTATGATTTTTACCGGTTTTTGGACAGTCCCAGTCCCTGTCTCGTCTATATTCCAAATATCATTAGCTGTAAAATGGTTTTGACTTAATACTAATTCGAGGTTATCAAAAAAGAGTCCGACATTGTGCTTGTTGAAACTTGTACTCCGACTTAAGCTGG